ATGTGAGAAGGCGTGGAGCGAGCTCACCCGTGCTGTTTTTTACCACTGTTGTTTTCTACCTCATGCGGCCTCTAATGGTAAAAAGCCAGGATAGGCTTAGTCCATGCCTGAGACCATCCGTTGGACTAAGACCATATAAACTGAAATCCATTCAGGCGTCTCCTAAATGAAATGGAAAAAGTCCTACGTCAAAAGAAAAATGTAGTAATTTTTCTTTCATTCTACGGGTTTTCATACAGAGTAACTTGGCTTAGCCGTTTAGTGGCGGCAACGAAGGGGGTGGAAGGAATGATGGTGCGGCTGAAAGACCTCCTCCCCTTTCCAGGCGCAGTCGTGGGAGGATCTGAGCAGAAACGTTCACATTCCACGCGGCCTTCCCTCGAGAGCACATATCGCGCTGCCGGGTGGCCTCAGCTTATCTCTAATAGTGCTCATTCGACTGCTGATCAATACTACAATATCATCATCAAAACAATAAGATCACTTAGCGATTCACAAAGAAAACGACCAACAAACATGAAACAGAACTTCCGGGAAAACGTAAGATAAAGCATGAAATTCGAAGAGCTGCTCATTGGTTCATATCTCAGCACAAGAAAACAACAATAAAAGTGAATTGAATTAAATTGGATTCTCCGTGTGCTCAAAACCCTTTTTTATGAGTTATATTTTAGCCTACTTAATCGCCTAGATGACTATACTTCGCGCTAACATATTATTACAACGACATCAACATTTCCATTTTTCAGAAAAAAAACACAATATCACATAAATACAGAGAAGTTTCGCATGGGATGGAGCCAAGAAATAGGTTCCTGGATTTGACTTCAAGAGGCCTCATGCCCGATTGCCTGCCGAAAGTGCATCTGTTTCTGGCTAAACTTTTTGCTAACTAAGCCTTCCTGCATTATGAGCCCCGAACAAGGACAACGCTGATCAAAACATGATCAAAATCATCTTTCAAAATATCGAAAGTTCCAGAAGGATGCAGACGAGTAAAGAAGACGTCAATTCCATAGGCTAGCATAAGACTCGTAGATTCTAATCCCGATGCGCTGAAATAATATGATAGAAATATGGTGGAACTTAAGCCACGTAATGCATAAACCCTTCGGAAAGTGGGGCCAAAAAGTGGCCTCGCATGGAGCTAATCACCCACTCCACCCACGTGGACAATGACGTGTCTAATGGAACGCATAGCACGATCAGGCCGCGTTCATAATTCGCAACCCTAGCGATTCATTCGCGCGAGCGAGATGCGACAGACCAAGCCGTCGCTCGTTCATCGCTGACGTTGCAGCTTGGCAATTTAATGGCGTTTCTTCTTTTGACTGCTGTAGCGGTTCAACGATTAGCAACAGAGCGCGGTCTCACGACCCACACATTGCGTGACCAAATCGCACGAGTGAGCTATAAACTCGTTTTGATTGGTTTGACGAATAGCTTGATGGAAATCAGTACAAGTAGAAATTAACTCACGCAGTCTTGATTCCTCGGACACGATGAACAGTTTGATTGTAATTTACCATATCTTCCTGTTGCTATGGCAATCTCAGGAATATACGGTATCATCATTTCCTCGCGCATTTCTTGCGTCAACTCCAATGGGCGCGTAGCATCCAGCAACTTCCTTGTCACTTCATGAATTCCTCCCAAAGGGAGAGCCATCAACAGGGAACGGGTAGTAAGCCCTTTTTCTGTAGGAAAGATTTATAAGCATTGAGACTGAGCACCAAAACTACTCATATTTACTGTACAAACCTGTTTCACTGACTGCCATTGCTTCTATTCCTTGTGCATAAATAAAGCTTTGGGTAACTACTTCTGGTGCCCTCCCTTGCGTTGGCGACAAGGGAAGTCAAAGTCGTCTAAAAATAGTAGGCAATAGACTTGTAGTTAGACGAACATAGGTTTCACTTACAGTGTGGGTTCTGCGAACAACGAACATTTTGCAATCCAGTGATACTACAACAACTGCACATATAATTAAGGTTGAACTGATAGATATAACCAGTACGTACGTTCGCGTAAGGGACACCTACGGATGTGACTGTAGAACTACACAATCTAATTCAATAGTGCAATGAGTTTGTCGCGAGTGTGCGCTCCATGCCAAGCCCGCGGTGTTCGCAGGTTACGCACGCAACCCGCGGGACTCCGAATACTGTCCCCCGACACCCACCAATGTGGCCATTCCAAGAAAATGGGTAGAAATTTTTATTTTAAGTTGTGTGACACCTTAACTGCTGTAGTGCCCAAGTTTGACCATAGCGAACATGCCATAAGGCGATCCTTAGGAGAATCCAAAGAACTTGTCCAGATACTTCGCAGAGATCCCGCCTATGTTGTGATGAGTTTCAGGCTCTTCCGAGCAAACGCAAACACATACACCACATACTTGAACACACTTTTGGAGGGGGTAGTGATAACGGGGGCCCATCCTGCTCTTGTAGACACGAAGTGATTCTTGGAAACATCCTTCAAACTAAAAAAAGATTTTGCTCATATGGTTGCAATCGTTTTGGCTGGAGTCAGTAGTGGTGGGGAATTGCCCACCCACGGCTGCCTTCTCTGATGCAGCAGATGCGGGTGAAAAGGTCTCATGGCACCGCCCCGACAGACTGCGCGATAACAACTTTATAACGATAACACGGATATTTAAAGTAAATTGGCTTAGAAGAACATTACTAACTTTTACTAACTTCATAATTAAATTACCAGTGTAAACACCTTATTCCTCCTTTCCCTTACTGATGAGCACAAAAGGAGGATATCACAAACTGCTTGGTTTCCGTCTAAGGGCACGTGCGAAACGGAAACTAAGCTACTTCTTTGTCACCCCTCCCCCCCCCTCTAAAACTTGAAGCGAAAAATGTATAAAGGATTATAGCCATTAAGATACTATATAAAATTATATCAAAATTGTATTATTTATAAAAAGACATACCTTGTTGGTTTGCTCGCTCCCTTCGTAGAGTTCAAGTATGCCTATTTCAGTTCGTCTTCCCTTCTCCGACCAATAGGAATACTGCAAAACAATACAATGAACAGCACGAATGAAAGTTCAAGGAACTTGATAAAAAAATACTGAACCAGACAAGGTTGCTATCGTCACAAAGAAAAAAGAGGGCTAATTACCGCAATCCAGTGTTCGCAATGAACCAAATGCACGGGTGCTGTGGCCTTAGACAAGCGAGCAGAATGAACCATTTGTCCAGAAACTACATCTACCAGGAAAATCGACAAATATTGATGAACTGGATCCAAAGTGGCTATTGCAACCTGAATCACATAATTGATAGAAATGCTATCGACTTGAATGAAGAAACGGTAACGAGAAAGCCATACCAGATTTGGATTTGCATATTTGTACTGCACATTGCGATCAATCAACACTCTTCCTTGTGAATGCATTTTTTCTGAAAGCAACTGTTAGAAAAATAAAAATTTATCGAAACCTTTAAAGACTCACGATGTCTGGTTGTCCCTTGATGGCGCGATAATTTCTCCGTTGGCAGCAAGATGCAACTCAAGCGGTCCACTCTTGACTAAGTCTTATGTCTGAACAGGATTGATACTTGCTCCAGACATACTACCTTCTGGTATAAGGATATAGACGGGAGGAGCTCCAGCTAGCACGTCATCAGGTTGAGGAGGATGTATGAATATCTGAAAATCTTCTTCAAACTGTATAGTGTAGTTCGCTGCGGACGCTTGGGCGTGTCAGGCGGGATGAGTTTTGCCAAACCGTTCAATGCCTTCGCCGCAGGCGAACTGCGAGTATAAGTCTTCACTACCTTTACATACACATTTGTCATGGGACCAGCTGTTCTGAAAACATGTTGACAAAGCCAACCTGTTACAACTTAACTTTACTAGCTCCAAAAAAAAACAGGCTGTCTACAGTGAATCAAACATCACATATGACGCCACCACTTCCTCCTCAACCCGGAGACAGACCGGCTTACAGTATGCCTAGTTCTATGCATTCACGGAGGGGAGACGACACATTAAATTTCACGCGCAGTTTTCGTGGTACTGTATAGAGCCTGTTTCTCTAACATGATCTTGCGACCATAACACAGATACAGGGAAATGTCAATAGTAACGAATGAAAAGGTTATCACAAAAATGCTGCGTTGTGGGCAAAAGTCTTGACCGCGACGGACTCGAACCTGCACCTCACGCTTTCCTGGTGAAGGCGTTATCCATTATGGCCACCAGAGCCGCTTTTACCCTCTCAGCTTGACAGCTTTTTTTATGTCGGAGCCAAGCGGCACTCACCTCTTTAACCCATTGCGTACCGCAGTGTATTTGCGCGACGCGATTTCTGGCGCGCTGAGTATAAAAACATAAGATTTTTATCTTATACATATAACATAAAAATATTGCACACACATCGTATTATGCATCACTTTTATAAGTATACGTATGCTAAAGGGGATTCAATATTGTTACGTGATAAAAGTGTTAGGCCGAAAAATGCGAAAAACTAGCCAAAAAAGCTTGATAAAAATAGGAGGGTTGAAAAATGTGAACGCAGTTTGCTTAGCAAAGCTGTACCTCACACTCCCGCACATTTCTACAATTTTTTTTCAGGTCTGTACTAAGCAGGATTTCGGTTTTGTTGGTAAAGGAGAGTTAAATAAAAATGTAATAGTTGAGGTATTACTCGAAAAATGCTAGCAACATAGCTATTATTCAATCTCGCAATTTCCCCCACACATATTTTGTCCCTGACGACTTCAGGAATATACCTACTCTTTCCAGTCATCTAACAATGCTAAATGAGTTCACACTAAGAGTGCTTCACCATGTGCAGCACGCGGTACGCAATGGGTTAAATGATCCGTTATCTAGTAAGCTGACGCTCACGATAGACAAACGTAGTGCGTGCGATTGGCTCGGCCACAAAAAAAAAGCCATCAAGCCCCTGAGTGCGTACACGGAACGCATATAAAGCGGCGGAAAGCGGAGGTTTGGGTTCGCCGCTGGGGTCAAGACTTTTGCTCATCATCTCAGCATTCTCCGTGATAATTTCGGAACGCGAAACTGCGGCGCCAAAGCATAGGGCAGTATCATATAACAAGCAATTCCGAAGTGAAAACGGTTTGGAGGAACCTGTGGGGCGAAGAGCCGTTAGAATTCATGAGATATTAATGGATATGCTACAACGTAAAGTGTAACGCACCTTCTTATTAGCTCCAACAACAATAAGTGGATATATGTGCTCCCGACCCACGAAACTCAGTACATCAACACGAGATATTGGAGTCGGTAGTTGTTTTCTCTCTACGACTTTTCCAGTAATTGGGTTGAAGAATATCAACACGCCGGTCAAAGATTCCTTCAAGCTCTTATTACAGACGTCTGTTCGTTCTATTACGATCGGAACAGTTCCACGCTGAACAAAATCGCAACATACCGTATCTCTGAATGCAACAGATGCTTGGCCAGGCAACTGATAATGAGCTGTTGATCTCTGCACAAACAAGGGCACCTGAACCAATTGCTTATCTCGGATTGTGGAGAACCATGTATTGAAAAAGGTACACTTAAGACAATACCTATGCGATTCCCTATTAAGAACTAGATCAAGGGAGCGAAATGGTTGCAAGCCATGCGCAAACTATTTGCTGTCGAGACCAAACACTACCCCGTTTAATGTTGTAGCAACTATGATTTTACGAAGATTGAAGAAGTCTCGTTCCAAAGTTTCACCGCTATGACTGAAATGCAATACACTTAGACTACACTACTACTTAACAGGGAAGTCCGCCAACTTACCATGGAACTTTGAAAGGAGACCTGGGTAGATTGATAGAGTCTAAGGTTATTTACAAATATAGATAGCAAAACTGCAACCTGCATTTCACAAGCAACTTATGAGCAGGTAAAGTTTGTAATGGTGCAGTAGGGTGGAGGCTTGGTGGTGAGCTGTGAAGCGAGGAATCGCATACGTCGAATCGAGTCGTCGAACGTCGAACCTTACTGAACCACCACGACTCGATTCGACGTATGCGATTCCTCGCTTATGCTTCACAGCTCACCACCAAGCCTCCACCCTACTGCACCATTACAAACTTTACCTGCTCATAAGTTGCTTGTGAAATGCAGGTTGCAGTTTTGCTATCTATATTTGTAAATAACCTTATAGACTCTATCGATCTACCCAAGTCTCCATTCAAAGTTCCATGGTAAGTTGGCGGACTTGCCTGGCTAGAGGTGTCTGGGTGATTATTTAAGAAAACATTAACTCACTTCCCACTTTTAGCTGCGGAGCGAACATGTTGAAGTAGCTTTGAGAAAGAATTCGTTCTTGTTGAAATCATGTATGAGAAGGTGAATATCTTAACAACCGGTATACGTATGGAATCTGATTGCCTAACTAACAATAAAGAGCCTTTGAATGCCATCACAGTACTTGCTTCATATGAATGAGTACCTCATTTATCGTTTTTATCAGCCACTTCTGGATTTGTGATGTTTGTGAGATTAAGCGTCGAATGAAGGACGACATTAAACCGCTCGTGCCTAAAAGTGCTTCAATGAGATATAGACGAAGAGAGCCACTGAACTACCTCACGCGATTTACTCACGGATTAACACATTGGCGACAAAGCGACTTTTCGCGTGTCTGCCGCGTGGAACGAAAGCAGTTTTTTTTCCTATTTTTGAGAGAAGCGCGTAAATGCTAGGATGTTGTACAGCAAAACATTGAAGAAGTACCAGAACCAAACGCAGCAGCAATGCAGTAGCTAGTAAG